AGTGAAATTTTAAATCTTAATGTTCACGCTGAACATACAGTTCAATTTGTGAATAGCGTATCCGGTTTCCTCCAGCTCTAGTAGGAAGATTGGTAGCTTTTCTTGATTATTTTTCTCTGATCGTTGGAATTGCTAACCTTCTTGATTGGGAATTTTCTTGAAAAATCGCATCTTCCGTAATTTTATCTGGTAAATTTTTCAGTACCACCCAAATTGGCTTTTCGAAATTCATTTGGAAAGTATGAAAAGGGATGCCTCTTTTCTGCAACATGAAGTCGTCTAATGATTGTACCTTTACAAAAATTGATTTCGCCTTCATGTCGGCCTCGAATTTGTCTTTGCAAACGTTTAATAGAATTTCTTCCATTTCCATCTAGTCCACTGCTTGGCTCTGGAATATAATAGGTGGGGGCGTCTCATTCTGAACAGCTCTTCCCTCTGGCTCCTCCTCTCTCTGCATTTCAAGTATCTTGAACCTGTTTTCATGCGATTGTGATAATTCCTGCGGTGGGGTACTTTTCATCTTTTTTGCCAACTTTTTCGGTGTAATCCAAACTTTTTTCTCCCTTTCATTGTTTTTACCTTGTGGGACTGGGCCATCTGAGTCCATAGCTGTCTGAGTAACTTCTTCACTGCAGCTAGCGACTGCTTCTTTTGGGGGTTCTTCAGCTATCGATTCCACTTTTTTAAGTTCTTTAGCTTTTCCTGCGCCAATCATTTGCTCATTCCATATCAAGGTCTCTTGAATTTTCTCCGGGCTGAACATGTCTGCCATTAATATCACAAACAACCTCAGACTGGGAGTGACCAGATGTTTCTGAATTGTTTCCCTTCATAACTTTGGTACTCAGGATGGGGAGTACCGTAGAAAACTCTCTAAATAGCTTCCAATTCAAAAGATGGCACTATCAGCTTCGTGCCCTTTGTTTGGTAGGGGGCAGAATTTGGATTGGCTCAACACACTCTCACTGGCAGCCATCGCTGAAAGCCATGGACTTACTTTATTCTGGTCACATGATACTGGCGGACCTTCCTAGCAACTACAGTCAAAAGTCGTTAATTCAGACACCCATAATCCGAAATGATCTATAATCTGGACCTCAAAGCTACAAACTTTCTGCGCATGTGTCGCATGCGCAAGACCTTTATGGCTGCGAATATGCGTGTGCACAGGCCCAAAATACGTTTATGCATGCGCGTTTAATGTATAACGGACGGTATAAGCTAAGCTAAAATTATCTAATTCAGTTAATGTTGCAGATTGCGTTGTTCCTTAATCTTCGAATTGGATCCGGCTTATTATTTTTTGCAGACTGTTAGAGCAATTTTATAAAAGCAAGCTTGAACTTTCGATTATGTCAAATAGAATTTCCGATATATATTTACTAATATGTAAAGGATCAAACATCATATACAAAGCAAAAGTATGTTTTGAAGTCCCTTAAACAAAAAGTGGAATTGCTGCAAAAAATGGATAAATCCTTTGTTTATCTAACCATTCCGAAATCTGTTTATTAATTTCACGCTGCTCTGCGGCAGGGGGGACACCGTGGCACACAATGAATTGGAAGTTGATCTGTCAGCCCTAACTTATCTTCGGGGCAGATGTTTTTATTTTATTTGGCTTATAATTCCTTACTAAATGTAGTATTTCATCTCGATGTACTCCATCTTTGATATGATTTAAATCAAATTCCTTGTCATTATAATTCGCTTCCGATAGCGAAGAAAGTAAAGTAAACAAATAAATATTAAGCTTTTTTTTTATATATAAATTTTGATACCCTTTAGATCATAATTTTTTTTTATTTCATAAATTACGGTTTCATATTTTTAATTTTATAATTTCTGCATGCCATCTTACCAGATTTAAACTGATGATCTATAATCCGGAAAAATAGATAATCCGGAATCGCCGAAGTCCCAATGAGTCCGGATTAACAACTTTTGACTGTAGTATGCTTACTGATAGATCCGTGTTTTCAGAGTTCGTAGGTGCCACTTTTGTGGTCTATTTTTATGGTGTAGAGATAAGTAATACAAGGATTAAATTGCAGATATATAATTCAGTATTTCAGGCTGAAGTACAGGCCATTTTTTATGGCTTGAGATGGATAGAAAGGTAGACATACACCTTTTATATACTTTGACTGCCTTTCTGCACTTCAGGCTCTCTCCTGACCAGATAACTATAATTAAGCCTTCAGTGACATTAAAGATTTATACGCAAAATTAAAAGACCAAAATGATACATTTTTTCATAGGTCAAGACACAAAGATTTCCAAGGCAGCGAGAGAGCAGATGCTTTAACCAGCAAGGCCAAACATGCTGTGGGTGATAATGAGATCGATGTTCTGGGTTCAAGACAAAAGGCAATTTCTATCATGTTTAAAAATATACTGCAATCTTGGAATACATGTTGGATGAAGTCTAACAGAAATAAAGATCTCTTATGTTTATTAAAATAGAACAAGAAAATTAAATTCATGAATGATATCAACTTCACTCAGCTTGTTACGAGCCATGGTTGCTTACCACAATATTTATCAAGCCCTGGTGCCAAGGGCAATCCATTCACTAAAACTTGTAACGTAATAGGTGATAATAGGCACTTTCTGGAATCGTGAAATAACTGCTCATCTCAGAGAAAATTTCGAAATTGCTAGTGAATCTGATTATTACTCTAATAGAAATATAAAAATATATATTGCTTGGCCATTGTAATCAGGACAGCTTACTTGACAATGTTGCTTGAATTAGTAAATGAAAATGCTGCGAAGAGCAACTAATCAACTAACCAATTTCACAAGATACCAAAGGTGGCATCATCTTCAGAGCAGCGGGCTGGTTGTACTGACAGATTTTCTGGCATAAAAACGAAGTGATGAAACTATAAACAATTACTGATTCAAACAAAGGTGTAACAACTTCTCAGGAGGACTGTGCAATAATGGTAGCTGCTGTTATATACATTGGCAGTTTCCTCATCTTTCTCATCTTCTTCACCTGTGAATGTATGGCTTAGTGTTCCTTCAGCCAAAAAAATAATCAAATTTGCAAGGCCTAGTGAAATTACATACATCAAGAAAACTGGTTTAAAAAAAGAAGCTATCAGTGATGTCATTACGAACAGAACAGTTAAGAATCTCCCAAGTAATGTGATTTCACAAGATAACAATATTTATAATTATTGCTTCTTTAACCCCTATTCCCCCGTATGTTGGAAAAAGAGCATATTTTCAATACAGAAATTGGAAAATCACCTGAAACCATCTTGCTGGCCATAGGTAGATAAGCCTTCTTACCTTTCTAGCTACCAGTCATAAAAAATAAAATTGGTTAGGCAAAGTAAAAATAAACCTGCCCTCGCAAAGGAACAATATGGGTTCTGGAAAGGTTTCCTGGTGATTATTCAAGTAGTGAAATTAACAGAATTTACTGATTTTGCCATCACATTAAAATGAATACCATGTTTCTATAAAAGACATAACCAAATGTTCTGACCACAGTTTCCATGACAGAGCTTGATTTACAAATTAATTCATATTAACTTTAAAAAATTGTTTTAATATGCAAGTCTTTTCTAGAAGAAAGGTTGTTTTCCTGCAGGCAAGGTTATTTATTTCTGTTCCAATCCAAGAGTTTTTAATTGCTGATGTCTCACATAGGCCTGATACTGACAAATTACACGTGGCCTCGCTTAAATTGGGTCTAATTTTACTGTGTAAAAACTGTAAGATAAGAACTTTGTCACAGAAAATTAGGCATTATAAGTTCATGGATACCATAGGTAACAAATTCATCCTTTTTGGGTAACAGGTCCCACTTGCAATATGGTTAAAGTATAGGGTGTTAACACTTAACAGGTCTTTTACATGGTGAACAACCTTTCACTGCATCAGGGATAAAACTTATATGATTATGCTCAAATTTTACTCACTTTGCCCAGTAACTCTGGCCTGAGCTTTGCAAGAAGAAAGAAAATATACACCTTCATTAACAAGACTATCATAGTCTAATGCTAAGAAGAGTACGATTAATAAACTGAGATCACTGTAAAATAATTTTCTGGTGCTCATAAGAAGAGCACAGTACTTCATCTATAACAAGAACCTCAATGAAGATCTCAAAACTGACTATGTCAGAGATCACTTAAATAAGATTATAAGGTATTTAGGTATGGCATGGTCCACCCTCTTAGCAAGCCCAAGCTCACCTTATGGCTTTACTAATTTTCTCCATCCCTTCAGCATGCCTTTGTGGTGTAATGATAGCACACTCGGCGCATATTCGAGAGGTCCTGGTTCGAATCCTGGCTAAGGCATTGCACATTTTTCACATCTTCTGCTTCAAAATAACCTAATGACTCTACAAAGTTGATAATAAGCTTTCTAACAAGAATTCCAATAATACTACAGATAAATTTTTCTTGCACCTCAGTTAAGAAATCCTGATGGATAACCACAATATTTCCCCATATGCTTCCTAAACTCCTCAGAAATTTTGATTAGATGGAAGGAGCTTCCTTCCATTTTTAGCAATGTGTAAGTGCTTCTTGGTCATGTTTATTCCAGAGTGCTGGAGAACACAACTACCTTCTCCAGTGGTCTCTTAATTTGCCACATCTTCTTAATATCATGTGCTCCTTTCTTTGGAAGTTTGTTCTAGTGTTTTATGTATCTCCATACCCCTTATAGTACACTGAGTTAGAGATGAATTTTATTATTCCATGGATGTGTGTTTAACGAACCAGATTTCTCTAAAGAAGGACTCTGTGATAAACATGTGAGAAACTTGAAATTTGCCAATGTTAATGGTATGCGACGTGTCTTCGAGAGGTAAGAAATAAAATTTGCATTAATTATTTTAACCTGCAAAACTTTTTTGTGTATGTCTCATATGAAAGTAAATATATTTAATGAATTTTTTTAAGTTTTAATTAGAATTTTCTTAAGTGATAAAATTTAATTTGAATAAAGCATCTATTAAAAATGCTTACCTCTTTTCAATGAAGCCGCCAAGAGTCTTTGCATTTCTGCTTTCACAGAATCTAGATCATCCGGATGAATAAAAATATAAAGAGAGTGCCCAATCATATCAATCTGGAAAAAGGGGGAAAACGTATCTATTACTAAAACATGCTAATAAAAAACTTAGGGTTACCATTCTTCACATTTTACCAAGGACAGTCATGTTTATAAATGAAACGTTTCCATGCACTGAACTTATTCTAAATGTCATGCTGGAGGATGGGTCTATAACACATTTTACTCTTTATTCCAATACTATAACAATTTCCTGATGATTTGTTGCCAAATTCCATCAGAATGTTTTCAGTCGGATAATAATTCTACTTTTCTATCACTAAATGCCGCTAGTGTAAAGGGAGAGTTTACAAGTCACTTTTTCAGATTTGTCTCAATTTCACGTCCTCAAAATCGCTTTTGTTACCTTCAGTTACTTTTGTCTCTGCTATTAGAATGGTGCGTAAATGGTAAATTTGGAAATAAAATTTTACACAAAATTTTTGCCAAAAAGTCCATTAAAAATAAATATACAGTGCAAAGTCCAAAATCCGGATGTCCATTATCCGGAATGATCTAAATACCTGACCTCAAAACCACCAACAAAATTTTTCTCGTAGGCTTTACGGATTACGGAAAACGAGAAAATTTCGATTGAAAAGTTAGTCGGAATTCTCGAAACAGCAGTTACAGGACTTCAACAATATAACTAAACTAGAGATTACCTCTGTCTACAGAATTAAAGAGAAAGTATTAGCACAAAAAAAAGTAACTTAAAACAACTTACATTGAAAGAAATATTTAATAAGTTAAACAGATAAATATTAACCTTTTTTCGTAAATGTTGATATCCTTTAGATCATAAATACTTCATTATTTCATAAATCGCGATTTCATATTATTAATTTTATAATTTCTACATGCCATCTTACTAGATTTAAACTGATGACCTATTACCCGGAAAATTTCCAAATCCAGAATCGCCGAAGTTCCAACAAGTCCGGATTTCGGACTTTGTATTGTGTATATATATATATATATATATATATATATATGTACAGATAATAGAGTCGATATTTAAGTTCCACCTACAAACACACTTCATTCTATGGTGTTTGTTGTTTGTAACCTTTGTAATAGAGTGATGCTTCATTCCTCTATTTTAAGCTAATAATAAGTAATTCGTCTCATGATTGTAGGATTAAAAATCTTGAATTTAAATACACAGTTCTATAACATTTTTACTGACTATAATATCTATAATATATCTATAATTGTTAATTAAAGTAATATGTGTATTACATTTTTCAAGTCGTGATGAGTATTTTCAATCTAATCTGTTATATGAACTTTTTTCATGTAAAATGTAACTTTTGTCAATATGTGTTAAGATTTTATAAATATTCATGCACTTTATCAGCAAAAAATATGTTTTGAAAGTAAACAAAGTTGAGCATTTGCAATAGACAATTTAAAATTAGTAGTACAAGCTTGATTTTGAACTAATTTCTTTTGTGAAGTTTGTGAGAATGAAATCATTTATTTCTTTAATCATTGGTTAACCAATGAATTGCTCGTTATTGAACAACAAATATTTCAGGGACATAAGTTCGAATTTACTTATTTTTATTAATTTTATTTAAGATATCAATTTTTTATTTCTTCGGGAAGTTCTTCAATTATGCTGATTTGTTCAATTTCAGCTACAATTCTCGCTTGACTGTTATGGTAAGCGCCCATGATACCAATCTTAGGAAAGCTGCCTTTAGATTAGAAAAGTTTATTAACATTTGTTATCCCATTTAGGCTGTATGGCTTCAAGCATAGGGAGCTGCATTTTATTTCTGAGTTTTCATTTGACTATATTTATTCTGCTAAATAACCCTTACACTTCTGTATTTCAGTTGGTAAAATTGACATATTAATTTCAAGTTCTGCAATATTCTGAAAAGGATTTTCTCCACTACCAACAATCTTAAGTACTGATGATATTTCTCCATTACTTGAAATGGATATCATTGCATTGAATTTTAATACTGGAAACTTTTTCTTCATTGGTAGGAGCAAAACGATTTTATAAGGAATGTAGCACAATGTGATGAGTAAAACAGTAATGAAACATAAAGGTAAGATTGGAAAATTACTGTCATTAAGTAAACAAGAAAAATTATTAATGATGTGAAAGCATTCAAAGGATCTCAGTTGATTAAATGAAGAAACTGAAGGGCAATTTTTGCAGATCCCATATTAAAATGTAACTAAATGTCCGTCGTACTTAGCTAACAAATTCTTTTTTTCCTTTCGAAAATTAATTTATATTCCCCGATAGGAAATTTCAAAGCTTTTTTCCAATTTGGCCAATATACACCAAGCAGCACCATATGTATCAAACTATGCAAATTACACAAGAATTAAAAGCACATATGGTACCTTTAAGAATCGAAAAATGAATTTTACTGATAGGTGAAAAAGTACTTAAATATTGAACTTATGTAGAAGTCGAGAAATTTTGTAATTAATAATAATTTTAAATAATTATTGGGTACGTTTCAGCTAAACGTCACTGTCGGCTTAATGTCCGGTTGACTAAATGTCTTGACAGTTAAATGTACCATAGCTAAATGTCCTGACAGCTAACTCTCTGTGTCTGCTAAATGTCCTGTCAGCTAACTGTCTGTATCGGCTAAATGTACTGTCGACTAAATGACCTGTCAGCTAAGTGTCTGTGTCATCTAAATGTTTTGTTGGCTAAGTGTCACAGACCCGAGGAAGATTATATATTTCATAAGAATAATTGAGATCCTTATGTTATGTTTTCAGATGGAACACTGGAAGTGGAAGAGAGCAGACATGCTTTCATGCAAGCGAAGCCAACGGCCTTAGAAATTGCAAAAAAGAGAATCCCACTAACAAGCCTTTGAGGAGTATTGGAAGAACTGTAGTCTTCCAGTTATGTAACAGTGTCCGGCCAGCATTTGTCAAGCCCTAGCTTGATCCCTGAGATGATTCATTACAAAGACTGTGCAAATTATGATGTGAACTATTCGTGTACTATGCTATAATCATGAGGTTACCTAGCCTTAATTTCATACTTTTATCAGCTTTCATATCATCATAATAGTTTAGTCAATAAAGTAGTATAGTTTATACTTTCGCCTTGTGCTCCTGTAATCCATTATAACCCCACATATAATATGCATTTTTTAATGCTATTGTCTTGTAGGATCTAGCTTTCTTGGCTATCATAAAATGTAACTAGATTTACTTAAGTGTTATACTTTGTGAATTCTCACACAGGCATTAAGATGAAAACAACCACGAAAAGGGTGTAAAAGACCATTTTATTTATACAAAAAGTTTAGCAGTTGACACGGACTTACGTGCTTACACAAAACATCGGGCACTCGTGGTGAGAACTTAAAAGATAATGCAATACTAAATTTAAAGGTAAAGAGCAGTTCGAGATTACACAATTCAATTTAAACTAACAGGTTGTCTTAGAAAACCTACACTGGGAAGATACTCACTTGACGGCCAGAATGCATAGCCATTATTAATAGCTGGTATTAACTAACAAATGTGCGATCACAATAGCGAAGTCATGCTCTGTCTGATCTTTTCGCTCCAACAAGTTTAAATACTTTTGTTCACTCTACTTAATTTACATCCTGGCGATGCAACATGAGGGGGAATAAAAGAATTCAGGAAAGGCTCAAAAAAAAAAAAAAAAAAAAAAATAACTGTTAGTAAAAATAAGCAGAACCTACATGTTTCCCAGTCAGAATTTAACAATTGTTATTAAAAGCCTTTAATTAGCCTTAATAAAGATATTTAAATTCTAAATGTAATGTAAACATTTAGAATTTGTTCACAATTTGTTCATTCTTCACAAATTCTTAAGTCTCAAGATTAATTTGCTTTATAGATAATTTTCCTCCTTCAATTCAATTACATATAAAATTTTCTTCTTATAATTGTTTCCTCTGGTCTTTCTTCCATACCGCTGGAAGGAAAATAGCTTAGAAAAAGATTGACTACATTTAATACACTTGCATAACTTTAAAGTTTTAACACAATTACATATCTATTTTCATTTAATATCACATGGGGAAACTTTTATTCGTTACATTCTTTCCAAATTTTAAAACGTTTTCTACACTCTTGTCTAACCGACATTCTACTCGCTAGCACCTAGACATACGAGACTTCAAAATTACATCTTACATTCAAATCTCAGCCTTGAAAAGCTAATTCTAGTGAAAAATTAACTTGGTACTGGCTGGGGAGCATAACTTTAATTTTCTTGCATTCTCAAGCTAGCTTTTACTTTTAACGTAAATTCTACTCTCAGATTGACTGAACACTTTCATCCAATCACATTTATTTTTGTTTACGAGCATGCAAAACTTTTGGCTTTAACATAATTTCACAAAACTTTTCCATTTACAATTACTTTACTTTGACTTTTTACTAGTGTAATGGTAGCACATTCCGCATGTATTTGGAAGGTCCAGGTTCTAGTCCTTGCGAGGACATTGCTCTTTTTTTCACGTTCTACACCATCAAGATAACCTAACAATTCTACAACTTTACTGAAAACAATATCAAATAATTTATATGCAACAAAATTTTCCAGATTAAAGTAAAACGAACTTGCTTCGCTTAATTGAAAACACGCAATCATTTCTAACTCAGTTTCTGAGAATAAAAGCCAATAGCTTGTTCTTATTTAAAAATATACTTCTAGAACTGAAAAAAGCTTCTTGCTCAATACAAAAATAAAACTGTCCTCTATAGAGGCAAGAACTAACTTTGTACTTAGAATTAAAATAAAACTTAGAGTAATTCCCACTTATCTTTTGTTTGTTGAAGTCTGCCATTCTTTTCTGTATGAACTGTTCCCAAGAAAAAAATTTGTTATCTGATGGACCCTTATTCTTTGCTGTGAGCCCCCATTGTTCTCCTTGTCCATCTGCTTCTTACGTTTGTGTCCCATTCTTTTCTCCCAAGGCAGCTTCTTCTGGTGTTGATTTGGGCTTGTAGTTGCTGACTGTTTCTGGGATCTAGTCATTGACACT